AAAAAAAAAAAAAAAGAAAGAGAAAAGGGAAAGAAAAGAGAAAAGAAAAAAAAGAAAAGAAAAAAAAAAGAAAGGAAATATTATAAATCGTTTTTCCCAAACCTTAAACTCCAAAATAATTAGACATAGAAAAAAAAATAAATTTTAATAACTATAAAAAAGTAAAGAAAAAAAAGGAAAAAAAAAATTCAAAAGATACACATAACATTTCCGTCTATTTATTAAAATAAAACAACTCTATCAACACCAAACAGCTTACACAGAATTTAAGCTAACAACTTAAATAACAAAACAGTATAGAAAAGATCAACTACCCCAGAAATATACATCATTACGAAACCAAAAACAGCTTCTGGGGGGGGTGGGGGCCCAAAAAAAAAAAAAAAAAAACAAAAAAACAAAAAAAAAAATGGGAACCGAGAAATATAGGGATAAAAAGGAGGAAGCAAAAAGGGAAGACGGGGACCTGTTTAGTCTGCGTTTTATAAAAATTAAATGATACTTTAGACCTTGCAAGTGCGACGGAAGATAAAATGATCGTATAACCTCGACGCCTGGGAGGACTCGGGGCATGGTGATGTAGTGCTGTTGCCCCTACTATCCTTGGAGAAGCGCCCAGGCCCCTACCGGCCCCACAGGGATCCCTGGGAGCCGGAGGACGAGGCCGAGGAGGCGCTGGAGAGGGACCTGGAGCTGAGCCTTGGGCCAGGCCTGGAGGCGCCGTCCCTCCCCGGTGCCAAGGGCAGGAACCCAGGGACCCTCCTGGAAGACACCGAGGACCTGGAAACGGCTGCGGTGAGCGGGCGGTTCCAGACCTGCGCGCCCAACTGGCTCCGGGTTTCTCATATCGCACCTCCTCGTTTTTATAACATGCGGAGGGGTCGCGCCTCCCTAAAGGTGGCCAGGCTCAGGGGCAGGTGGGGGTGGCCAGCAGATGTCCCTGCTTGGAACTTCCTTCTCTCACCCGCACAAAGCTTCCCTGTTTGCCAGGCCCCTTGGGTGGGAGCTTACCTAGCAGCCGGCCGTTAGGGATGGGCTCAGAGAGGGGCATGACGTGCCCAGTGTCTGCAGCCAGTGGCAGAATAACCTGGGGCCTCCCCCCACCTCCCCCCACCCCCGCAGCCCGCTGTGTGACAGCTCCCTTCTGCTGTGCCTCAAGAAGAGGTTTCGCCTGGGCCGCATCTACGTATGGGGGTCCCCGAGGGGATGGAGGGCTGGGACTCCCTTCCCCCTGGGATCAGAGGGCCCTCCAGCACCCCAGAGCACCTCTTCTCTTCTCCTTCCTGGGCTGGGCACTGAACCCTCTCTGGGGCCCTGCAGAGCGGGGCCGGGGTCTGGGCGGGAAGCATCCCAGCCCCGTTCCATCTGCCTCCCCTGCCCCCTCCATGTTCTGGTGAGAGCTTGCGCTTCCTTCCCCAGACCTTTGGGGGGCCCCTCCTGCTCGCTCTGAACCCCCGCTGGCCCCTGCCTTTCTTCTCGCCTGAGGTCCTGGCCAACTACCGCCCCAGGAAGGCCCCCAGTGCCACCCCGTGAGTGACTTTCTCCACCAACCTTTTGTTCAACCCCCTGGCGGCTGAGCCCTGCAGGTCCCATGGACTGGGGTCCTGGGAGGGTGGGTGCATCCTGCCTCCCCCTAGGAGGGCCCAGAGGCCCCTGCAGCCTGCTCACCGGCCCCGCCCTCTTTCTCAGACACATCTTCGCCGTCGCGGCATCAGCCTACAGCCTGTGTGGGAGCACGGGGCGGGACGCAGGCATTCTCCTCAGGTGAGGGGTGGCTCCCTGTCCTCGGAACCCCCGGCCACACTGTCCGAGGAACCCCCGGCCACACTGTCTGCTGAACCCCCGGCCACACTGAGGCTGGGACGGGTGGGTGAGGGCCCTGCTCCACCGCGTGGCAGCTCTGGACTCCGGAGGGCTGTGCTCCCGGCTGACGTCACCACATGTGCCCCTTGAACGAGGCCTCGCAGGGACTTTTTCTGTTGGTCCTCATGCCCCGGGACTCTCTGCATTTGGCCATGTCCCCACTTCATCGGCTCAGTGGGGTCATGCGACGGGCCTCCCTCCCACAGTGGGCACAGTGGCTCAGGGAAGACAGAAGCCGCCAAACAGATCGTGCGGTTCCTGAGCGGCCTGGAGCAGGGGCAGACGAGGGACGCAGGATGTCAGGTGGGGGCAGCTGGCCATTTCCCGGGACCACCCTTCTCCTTTGGGCCAGGAGGGTCCTCGGGTCCCTGCTTCTCCTCGGGGACAGCCCAGTCCCCAGGCACAGAGTGCCCGCAGCTGGGAGGCCTGGCCGGGGGCTCACGGCTCTTCTGGGGTGACTTGAATGCCCTTCCCCTCAGCTGGACGACGTGCTGCCCTGGCTCGGCAGCTTTGGCCGGCGCCAAGACAGTCCTCAATGCCAACGCCAGCCGCTTC